TCCCCACCCCCCACCCCCAACTGTTCCCTGTTCCCTGGTTGTGTAAATCACCACATCCCTACACTGTCCTCAGAACCAAATCTGACAATCCTAGGCTGTTGTCGCGGTGCGTCTGAGAGAATGTATGCATGGTGCACTTGATGTAAGTGATTTCTGGGCTTCATTATATGTTTAAACAGACTATGTCCATCATAATCGGTGTATGTTTTATGAGCATGACAAAAGATTTCATCCTTATCATCAATATGTAAATTATCAGTACAAGAATTCTTGTTCCCCATTTTCTGCAATCCCATATTAAAGATATCATACTCCTATTTATCTGTGAATGTTATGGCTTTCCCGCGAAGATGTTTGTTGATCCTGATGACATGCCTGACCGTGGGTATTTTTACCGTAATTCCTGACAATAGGTTGACATTCACGTAACAACAGCTTACTGACAAATCGGGTGGGAGACAAAGAGACAATGACACATACATTGTTTGGGTTTCCGATCGACTCGTGACAGATGATATAAATTTGGTTCATTTTTCCACAGTTCTGTGTGAAATTCCCTGAAGCAGTAACAATACTGATTTAGGTAGTGTAGATCTTATTCCTGTTAAACCTCACTTCTGGTCCAAATTCTTTAATTGCCATTCAATTCATCTCATCTAAAACTTATAAGTCTGTTGAAGGATTTATGAGAAATATGGTGAGTGGTGTCAGAAAGTGTTTAATGAAAATGTGGTTGGTAGATTGGAAATGAAAACAAACAAAATATGTCCATTCTGTGGCAGTTGATAGTGAAGACTTTTCTCCGTGTATTTTGTAAATGGTAATATGCAAGTGATGATATCCATCTATGTTGAAAAGAGATACTTTTTCGTTATTTTCAGTTTATTGATATATTTTTATTCATTTAAGCGTATTAAAGTTTGCAAATGCACATTTACAAACTGGTTTAACCGCTATGTAGTACAACTGTCTAGTCGGGAGTGGATATTCTAATATATTATATTACCATATGGACTTTTGTTGTAAACAAAGTAGTGGGTCAGACAGCCATCTGGTGACCTGTCCTCGACCTTTGTGTGTTTTGTCATGATTTGCTTAGTAATCAGTTTTGTTCATTTATTTTTTCCTATATTTGTCTCCTATTTCTTTTCTTTACATCCACTTTGAATGCATATCTGTGTTCACTTCTCTTTCTACCTCTCGATATCCTCACTGGCATATTACCATGGAGATGGATGTGTTTAACATTGCGTATAGAAGCCTTGTATTAATGATCTACATTGAGTAGCACACAGGTAACAAGAGTTGTCACAGTGTTGACAATTTCAATTGATATGTGAATCCAACAGATCTACCCAGGTATTGTAGCTAACTTCATTTATAAAGCTGCAAGTCTGGGATGTAAACTATTACTTTTGAATCATTTATTTTCGTGGGGTTAGAATTTCGTGGTTTTCATATACTAGCCTGTTTCAAGGACATTGTATTACGCTGATTTTTGATTTTTCCCTATCTATATCATACCAAATTTATGTTTTCATGGGGATTTTATTTTGTGGATTCTTGTTATCCACGAAATAAACGAAATTTAATGTCCCACGAAAATTTATGATTTTACAGAACATGGCAGTTATTCAGTTCAGACTAATGTTAATTTTCTATCAAACAAATTATTAATACATGTATTTTCATGATAAAGAAAATATCTTGGTTTTTACATAGTCAACTAGTTTGTCCTGTTCTATATAGTGTGTGAACAAAAGTATACATACATCCCTTCAACTTTCTAAAGAAAGGATCACTAGATATGCTTGTTTAGATCTCTGATACAAAGACTAGAATTCAGAAAATACGTTGCAAAGCTGCCTGTATTGCCCTTTATGAGTATTTCATTATCTTGTGTCGAGGAGGTGAAAGTGACCATGTGTCTGATGTTGGTGCAATACACTCCAAGCGTTATTTTCTAATAATGAGAAAAAGATTAACTGGTAGATATATAAAGGCTTCTTTACACAGATTAATAGGGAGTTCTGCATCCTCGATATCCAGGAGTTACGCTCACTTTTGCTCTCTACACCCCTGGATATGTCATAGCAAAATCGAAGGCTCAGTGTGCGCCACCTTGTTGATGAGATGAGAAGACTAGTGTGGTCCTTTAATGTACATCAAAAGAATCTAACGGTTGTGTAACGGTAAAACTTGACAGATTTTGAAGTCGGGCATTGCTGCTTTGTAATCTTCAAAGGACAAGTATCAGCCTAGTGATTGGTCAGGTGTTTTTACCTGACACCAATCAAATAACTAGCCGCATGCCTTCAATTTTGCTATGACATATTCCAGGGGTGCAGAGAGCAAAAGTGAGCGTAACCCCTGGATATCGAGGATGGGATTTCTGTAGGGTGACTCATAATGCAAAGTTAAGACCATATTATAATAAATATTGCTTTTCATTAGATTTTTTTTCCTTCATTGAACGTGTCAACTTCAAAATCAGATTTACACTGAATGATAATGTTGAAGATACCAGTTTTGTTATTAGCTGAGATTGTGAGTTTCAGTACAATCATATATTTCATATGTCTTTACACATATTTTTTAAATGGAGAAAGGTATTTCTGGTTCATAACTAGCCTGGGAAATGGACGTTTCTGATCTATACCTAATCACACCTGTGTATAAGGTGTAAACAATAATCTAGGATTGTTAAAATGATTGAACCATAGACACATTTAATTTAGTAAATCTGGTGGCTCATCAACTCTTACATTACAAATCTACATCATTAGCATAATTTATAATTTTGGATGGGCTGTTAAAATTTTGAACAATGATTGATAAAAATGAACACTTCTTTGAGAAGATTTGTGATAACTTATGCAAGACTGTGTTCATGCATCTAACCATTAACCAATTAAATATTCATGAATTAAATGTCATCTGTTGATCATTCCTAACGCACAGTGTGCACAATGACGTGAAACAGTTGTCATGTAAGTGGTACAAAATTAAATATGGATATATATTATAGGTGACATTGCAATATACCAAATGATATGAGGATTATATGATATTATGATGAGGGGGCTTCAATATTCATTCAGCCGTCTCCACACATTAGTTCATTCACTAGA